CAAAAACATCAGATGTCTCTGGAGAGGAATAATAATCATATATATATATATATATATATATATATATATATATATATATATATACAAACACAAAGAGACATCACCCAGCCAACACAATTGTGACATCAATAGGGGATAATGGAGAGAGCGAGAGTGACTCCCTCGCTACAGAGACACCACGAACTGCTGCTGTTGCCGCTGCTGCTCCCTCGCCACTCACATGCACGAAGAGATTCAGCGGTTCTGTTTCCCCATCATCGTGTCGCATTGCAGCCACTGACATGAGACTTCGCCAACATTCTGGACATGGAAACACAGCACCTTTTACAGATGATAATAATAATGACGATGATGATGATGATGACGGAGGAGGAGAAGTAGTTGTAGCTGGAGCTGCAGTATCTCTATCATCTCTAGGATTTTCAGTAATATTTGAATCTTTCGTTGAATCGATATTTCTGCAATGTGAAGAAGTTTGCTGTAATGTTGTAGCATATAGGTAAACATCAGTAATAGCTGAATAACAGTGTCCACTAGCTGCTGCCACTCCAAGTGCATTTTGCTCTGCACAACCCTTAAGAATTCCCCTTAACGTCCTTCCTGCATTAAATCGTCGATGTAGTGCGTGATTGACTCCAGTTGCACAAAACATAACATCTGCATCATCTGTTGGAGATGCTCCAGTATTGGTGTTCCTCTGTTGAGCAACAACAGAGCAGGCTACAAGTGTATTATTACAACCTCCCTCTTCTGTTCCTCCTCTTTTTACCAACGATGCCAGACGTCGGATGTGGCGTTGGTGGTGTGCCTGTAGTGAAGATAGATACCGAATGTGAAGACTGTTATGAGTAGACACTGGTAGGGCCTGTTTTAACGGCAATGTGAAGAGTTGGGAAGCCGTCTTGACTCCAAGGCACATTCACACCCCACCCCCACCCTATTGCTTTTACTCTTTATTATGTGTGCGTCTTCTCTTCTCTCACCTTCTTCCACCACTCTGCACTTACACAGTCTATTTTTATTTTTATTTTGTTGATCAGAGAAGAATAAGAAAGAGAAAATTACAAAAGAAAAGCGTCTAGTGTCATACACCTAGAAACACTGTAAGAGAAGTAATTTAACAAAAGGAAACACACACACATACACACACATACGTACACTGCCTCTTACAGGTAAAATAAAATGTATTTAAACGGCTGCAAATATATACGTATATAGGCTACTGTTTCCTTCCATCCATGCATCCATTTGTTTTGTATTACTTTACACACACAGAGAGACAGAAACCTGGTATTCTGTTCTACTCGCTGGTCGAAGGTTGAAACGGCTTTTTCCATATTTTAGAGATGAACTGAAAGCTGGTTGCGAAGGTCTGAGGCCAGAACCGTACACCAACAATATTACTACTACTACTACTACTACCACTGCCATTATTACTGGAGCTATCATCTGTCATACTTCCTGCAGTAACAATCCCATATGGATCTCCAGCTGTATCCAGTTGTTGCCGTAGAAAAATAGCCTGTTCCTCTGTCAGATTCACTATCGGAGAAACTAAGTCTGGAGACGCTGTTTCATGCACATATTCGAAAGGGTGACATAGTACTGCTTCTCCCCCATAATATTGTTTAGTTTCATTACTGGCATTCACAAGACGCATCATTTCCTGTACAACAAACTCGTTCTGCTGATATGAAAAAGAACATGTACAATAGACCAAAGTCCCACCAGGTTTAAGTTGTGTATAACCATTTTTAAGAAGTTCCAGTTGTAACAAAACTAATGGAGGAAGATCCTTCCCAGTTGATGTATTTGTATTAGCACTTCCTTTTAAGGCTAAATTTAACCGCTTCATGCGGTACATATTGTCAATTCCAGTTTTAGCATTTGGGTCCTCCCCATTAGCAGTATAGGGTGTTTTACTTGCATCATTAAGACACATATGTGCTAGTGACCCATCATGTGAACACTCCGCATCCACAAGAACCCGATCAAATCCACCATAGCCTCCTCCTTCTTTACTATTTCCCATTTTCTCTAGCCGCTTGCGTGCCTCATCGCTTGCAAAAGCGAGTCTCACCTTTCCTTCTTCTCCTTCTCCTTTTCCTTCTCCTTCATTTTCACGCTGCCTCTTTGACCATCGCTGCAGTTCCCGCTCCTCACCGGCGGTCATTCCATTCTGTCGGCGGTGGCCGGACTCCCCCTGAGCGACCCGCACGGCGTCGGCGGCGGTGAGGCGGCGGGCGTCAGCGGCGAGAAGACAAACGTTGGCGGCCCCCCGCCGGCGGAGAAGCGAACGGGCGACGGCGAGGCGGGCGGCCCCCCCGTCCGATCCGACCGCCGCCCCCAACGGCCCAACGGCGGCCGCCAGAAGCCCCAACTTCGCCCCGGGCGCGCAGCAGGCGTCCCACACAATTTCCCCCCGCAGCGGCCGCAGCGCCACCACCGCCGCCGCCGAGGCCGCGTCCATCGACAGTAAAGACACGCGCGGTGAGGGCGGCGTGGGGACGCCAATAGAAGTGCTCCGAGGAAGAGAGAAAAAATGTCGCCGCGGCAACCACGGAACAGGAATCACTTCCCCAACATTCAGTCCAAGCAACTCGGCCAACTCAGCCGTCACGCAACTCTCATCGCTGCTGGTCGTCATGGTAGTGGGCGGGACGGTCGAACACGCGTCATGTGGAAGCACACAGACATAACGTGGCATAGTTCCCATAAACTCAGCCATGTCGTGAAACAACTGTGGGGGGAGGTGATTGGCGCGGCAGTAGTGAATAAACTCCTCCGTGAAGGTATCAGGGTAATCCCGCAGCACTACATCCTTGTCAACAGCCATCCGTCTCTCTCTCTCTCTATCTATCTCACACACACACACAGACACAGACCCCACCGCTTCCCAGACCTCTTTGGAGTATGCAATAAAATAAAAAAAGAAAGAAAAAGAAGGAATAATTAGGTAATAAAGCGAAGAGCACATGCAAAGAATAACATAAAATTAAGGAAAAAAAAAAGGTTTGTTAAGGTTTTTTTTTTTGTTTTTTTTTTTTTTTTGTGAGTACGCGCATGTCATGTAAAATTAGACATACAGAGGATAAATTTTTCATGATGGGACAAAGAGAGGTCGTCTTACTTCCTGACGCATTTCTTGAGGATGATGTATGTTCCTCTTTAAAGATACCCCATTTTCAGTTTTACTGCTGGATATTGGTTGCTGTTTTTCTGATGGGGCCTTAGTGGCCACTTCATCAGGATAACGCACTGGCGTTAGGGGTGAAATTCGTTTAAACTCATTCCATTTTTCCACTACCTGCAATTGTACAGGATTGGGTGAAACCACATGAATACTGGCATCGGGGTTTAGGGATTTAAGCATCACTGCTACGGCAAGTACACGTTCAGGGGCAGTCATACGATCTGAATACTGCAATACTGTTTGATTGTTTTTACTGCTTTCAACTAAAGAATCTCCAGATTTGGAGGAAGAACTAGATAACGTCATATTTTTATCCATTACCGCTATATCTGATTTTTCAATCTTGAATTCATTAAAAGAAGGGAGAGCGTTACTTTTACGAATTAGCAATGGAACTGTAGATCCTTTCGATCCTTCAATTGTTTCTTCTTCCTCTTGCTGCTGCTGTTGCTGTGCGGCCTTTCGTAGTAACTTAACAGAATCTTCTGTAATGGGTCCATCTACAATGTATGTATGAGCGTTTAACTGATGAACTAGCGGTAAAACTCGAAGTGGCGCTTTTTCCGTTATTAATTCTTGAAGACGCTTCAGTACATTTTTAGTGTAACGTCCCTTTGGTGTGCCAGCCATTTCCCGTACACGACGAACAAGCATTCGAATTGAGGAAAAAGGAATTAATACGGAATCATAATGGAAAAGAAGAGATTCTAAAAGTGGGTTAAGGAGAACATTGTGATCTACTACAGCTACACGACCTTGTACAATCCAACGTTGTGAACTTAGACCAATACTTCCAAGTCCTCGTGTAGCAGAACCAACTATATTTCCAAGTTTTGACTCAAATGTAGTAAAAAACATCAAAGCTTCATGAGGACGGTTATGGGCAAGCAATGAATCAATAATTGCAAGACTTAAATAAAGTGATGAGTTTACTGGATTTCCTGGATCTTCATTAAAACGTTTATATTCATTTTCAACAAAACGTACTGCTTCATGATCAAGTTGTAATCGCATTAGATTTGCCAAGACTGTCCGATACATAGCATCAGTAACAGGCATACCGAGAGAATGAGCCTCTGCTATACATCTCACAGCATGAGAAACATCGTTTGAATTTAAAGAAACAAGTGTAGCAATTGTCTCTTTACTTGGCTGAACATTCTTTTCTTTCATAGTTTGAAACAATTCTACACCTTTTGTCCAATTTGCACCTCCCATTGTAGCCATAGTAGCATTAAATAATCCAGCTGTCATATCTACTTTCCCTTCAATAGACTGAAGTACAGCAAGAGACGTTTCCCATCGGTTGGGTAAATGTGACTGTTGTATACAGCGTAAAAGTTCAAGATATACTGCACTATTAGGTGATGCACCAGCACGTACAGCTTTAGAAAAAATTGAAAGAGCTTCTTCACAGGCATTTGCTCTTCGACAAGCATTCATAACCGTATGTAATGCATAGGGATCAAGAGTCATTTTATCTTCAATAATTGCATTATAATGTTGTACACATTCTTTCCAACGTCCTGCAGCTCGATAAGCAGCTAATAAAGCACCATGTAATTTCTCATTGGCTTTTTTTTCATGACATGCCCGTGTCCAATAGCGAAGGGCAGTCTCCCAGTCTTTATTATCATTTGCATGAGCCATTAAGGTACAATAATGTGAAGATGTTAAGGAGAGATGAGCCTCATCTGCTACTTCTACAACAACTTGCGAACGGTCTAGTCGATTCACCGCACGAAGTTTCCGCAGCAGTTCTGATAATGATTCCTTGTTGAGTTCCCGAACTCCCACTGCACGACGAGCCGCCTGTCGCAGTTCCGACATTGGGACTTGCAGCAGTAATCCCACAATGCCTGGTTTGGCTTTACTTGTGGTGTGAAGGGCGTTCTTTCGCTTTCCATACAACAATCGCCCCATGTTTGGGCCCTTCTCTCGTGTATGGGCCTCAAGCCACCGGGTGCAGCGCTGAAGCATCTCTTTCTCTCTCTCAGTCTATTCGTTAATCTCTGTTGTTCTTCTTCTTCTTCTTATCTTTTTAAATTAGTTATGTGAATCTCGGGGTTCGTGGATCGCCAGCTTTTCTTTTCTTTTTTTTTTTTGAATGTAAAAAGGAAGGAATATGTCTTTCCCTCACGGATATAAATAGAGAGGCACACACACACTCTCTCTTTCTCACCCACACTCCGAGAACGACCCCTGTCGTTCTTTTTTTTTTTTTCTTTTGTTCTGTGCTTGTTTGTCCCGTTCATGCAAGAAAAAAAAAAAAAAAAGAACAGAAAGGAGAAATAGGAAAGAAAAGATAGAAATGTGTATACTACCATATATATAAATATAAATTTATTTGTTTATTTATATGTGTGCCTACAATTGTTGCATCTGTTAAAACTTAATCCATATAGGAACCAATGCACAAGAAAAATGTTAAACTGGTTATTATCGTTCTTTTTCTTTTTTTTTCTTTCGGTGTCTTTGTGCGTGTGTTTAACTTATTTGGGAATTATTATACTAACAACAAGAATTAGAATTATTCATCATCATAAACTCATTTTCCCCACCTCAGCTCCATTTCCAATTTCTTCCATCCCTTACAGCTTACCCGCAACTCCCCTTCTTCAGTCTTCTCTTCACAAACAGAGACACAAATATAAATATAAATGGAGATGGACGCCCAGATAGGAAAAACAAACAAACGAAAATAAAGAAAACATATACATACTTGCCCTAATATGTAGAAGAAAACACAATAGATGCAATGCATGTTTTTTTTTTCTTCTTTTTTTCATTGTTCTTATTTCCTCGTGCAACTGTTTGAAATATCCAAGACAAAGTAGAAGAACAATAACAAAAAAAATAATATCACATGGTAGTTGCCGAAGGAAGCGATTAAGGGAATGAAAGAAGAAGGAAAAAAACACGAAGAAAAATATAAACAGAGTGAAAAAAAAAGAGGTGTATAAAGAAATAATAGCGACCAACACATAAAGAAAAACCATCTTATGCTAATAGACGAATTCACTTTACTATTTCCTCAAGTATCCCTGAGAGTAGTGAAAATGAACTGCACAGCTGCTGCCTCACACCACACCACAGAGACTATTACCACCACCACCTCTTTCCCTCCATTTTTCTTTCTTTCGTTATCATTGAGTCTGTGAATACAAGTGGATGAATGCGTATATATCGACACTCCAACAAGACACACAGAACAGGGGTTGGTATATATATATATATTCAGACAGCAAAAGGTTAAAGTATATTGAGTTTAAATGGCATTTGAATACATATTTCTCTGTTTGCCGTTACCACACCCTTTTCAGTTATATCCTGTAAGTAGTTGAGTCGCATTCAAACTGTTTTTAGGACACCAAATAATAGCGGTGACTGATAGCAAGTGAAAAAAAAAAAAAAAAAAAACGCATTTATGAAATACGTGGAAAGGCAGGAAGTACTGCAAATAAGAAAAACACACATATTCAGATCAAAGAGTTTGTTGTTTAGCTTACACTAAAGCGACCTCCTTGTTGTGTCTTCCATTCTTCCTACCACCTTAATACTTAAAAAAAAAAAAAAAGAATCACTGATCACTTAAGACTACCTTTTCAAGTCTTTTTTTTTTTGTTTTAAAAATTCTTATTTTGCTCTTCCCTTTCACCTTTTTTTTTTCTTTCTTTCTTTCTTTCTTTCCCATATAGTTCTCTTTTTATTCTTCTAAATGGGAGTTTATTCATCATTTCAACATATTATCTTCAATCTCAGCCCATGCGCTGCACAAGCATGGCTGACAGTCGCAGTACCACATCCAATGCAAACAACGATCCACGTACCACGCTAAAATCCACCAAATACCCTCTATGATGACTCTCGTGAATACGGAAAAGATAAAGCGCTAAAACAACTCGAGGTGGAAGTGCGGTGTTGGAGGAATCACCACTATTGCCATCCATCATATCAGAGGGCTCCAGGGAGAGTGGGGTGGGAGGTTTGGTGGGTGCAATACCCATCCTTGTCCATGTCTCTGGGGTGGTACGGGCGAGTAATCGGAATGGTGCTAATATTTTCCACTCCATCGCTAATGAGGTTAGAGTAGAATAGATAACACTTAGAGATGTGGCAGCGTTAAAATCACTCATTAAACCAATACGCCATCCAACATTATTGCGTACAATAAAATTTTCTTCTTCTTGTGTATATACCATATGAGATTTAGCCACCGACCCAACACGATGACGATCATTATGACTTGAACCAAGAGCTCCTCCAGATCCATAACGCATACTTCCACCCGTAAGAGAAGGATGATATAAACTGCTATTACTTCCAATATGACTGGAACCAAATGGATTAGATATTTCTGTAACAGATTCTGGTCGCCTTGAAATACTAAAGGCACCAGTTGATACAGGTGTATGTAAAGATACGGCAAATGTCTTTGTTTCTTGTATTGAAGCTGGAATAAAATTACCACCATTATAAGCACGTTTATTAGAAGTGGCATCACCAACATCTAAGAGAACTTCCATAGCAGGGCTTTGGGTTAATAAAAGTCCAAGATTAAGTTCACGTTCAGTTGCCCTAGATACATGCGTTGTCACACGATCAGAGTTACTGAGCATATCATCATCCACTCCTAGAGATTCTGCATCTGCAATGATCTGTTTTCGTCTCTCAGCGTCTAGTAAAATACTATATGCCACAAATCCAGGTCCTCTACCTTGTTCAATTTCACTTCGTATATCACGATCTCGCATTCCAAGAATTCTAGCTGCACGACTTACAACAGTTGGTGATATTCGTTTATCTTGAACTAAAAATAATGCTTCATTATATGAAAGACGTGTAGGAAGATTGGTATTAAACCACACATTATCTCGAATTTGAGGTATTGTAAGTCGTAAAAGTGGATCCACAACTAATATCCTTTCAATTAATTCACGTGCACCGGGAGGAACACTCGATGGTATATGATAACGTCCCTTTTTGATATTATTAAATAACATAGGGACACTTTCTTCATCAAATGGAAGACATCCACAAAGAAGAGCGTAGAGAATAACACCACAAGACCATACATCTACTTCAGGACCAAAATAAAGTTTACCCGAAATAACTTCTGGTGCAGCGTAGTTTGGCGATCCACATGATGTCGCTAAAAATTCTCCATCTTTCATAATACTAGATAGTCCAAAATCAATAAGTTTGACTTGCAAACCCGGACCAAGGAGAATATTCTCTGGCTTCAAATCACGATGAACCACAAGGAAGTGGTGACAATACTCCAGCGCACAGACAATCTGCTGCAGTACATAACGACCAACATCCTCACGTAGTTTTCCTTTCTTTACAATGTATTCATATAATTCACCTCCATCAACGTACTCCATAATGAGATAGATATCGGTGGGAGTGGAGATAACATCGTAAAGTCTACAAATATTGGGATGAGAAAATAATTTCAATATCTTTACTTCACGAAATATTCTCTTATCCATATTCGCATTCTTAAGTTTAACACGGTTAAGAATCTTAATAGCTACCGTTTCTCCCGTTGGGAGATGAATGCCCTTCTTCACCTTACCAAAACTTCCTTTACCAATGGTTTCACCCACAAGGTAATTTTTAATGGTTTGATGGTAACCCGATGAGTCGCGTGAAGTAGCATTAGACTCCCATTTTGTTTCAGACATGAGTAGCACCTTATTACTCAATTATTACTATTATTATTTTTTTTTTTCTCTTTTCTTTTTCTTGGTTAACTATTTATTTTATTACCACTGTGTCTTTTTTTTTTTTTCTTTTTCCTTCGTTTGCTTGTTTCTCAGATGCTTTTTTATATTTTTTCTTTTTTTTCTTCCTTCTCCTTTCAACTTATCCTTTTTCGTCAAACTGCCACTATTCTCGTTTATTATTCTCTAATTTCCTTGGCTGTTCAGTTGCGTGTTGAAGTGCAAAATTACGATATAATAAGGTTGTAAGCAGTACAACCCACCCCTCCACTTCTTGTATTCGCGTATCTACGCGTATTCTTTATTACCTGTTACTCTCTGACCTTATCTTTTTCCCTTTTTTTTTTCCTTTGTACGTTTACACTCACTTTATCCGTCTTTACACTATCACAGTTTCAGGAGTGCACACACACACACACAGATAAAGAGAAATAAACAACTGCACTGCACTCCACTAAATTTTTTTTTTTTGCTGGTTGTGCGTGAAGGTAGTAGAGAAAAAAAAAAAGAAAACGTTCGAGTTTTTTTTAAAAAAAAACTCAAGAACAGCAAGATGAACACAAACACACCCAAACACCAAACACCCAACCACACACGCACTCAGAATAAAAGCTCCTTTTGATTCCTCTTATTTGTTTTCCAACCTTCCGTTATTTTCTCTGATCCTCTCCTCCTATTTAAATAAGGTTTTTTCTTGTATATGCGTCACCTTTTTTTTTTTTTTCTTATTCTTTTCGTGCTACAGGTTGGTAACTTCTCGTGAGGGTATATGGCCTTCTCTCTGTCAATATATATATATATATATATATTGAATGAGTGGGTATGTGTAGTCTTGCGAAAAAGCTCCTCCCACAGAAACAGCTTCTATTAACCTTATTGGACAGAGGTGACGGTCGTGTTCTGCAGACGTTTTCTTCCTTTTGTCCTCAGCTTTTGTTACTTTTTTTTTTGTTGTTGTTGTTGTTCTCCCCCCACTCACTTTTTTCTCTTTCAGATGTGTATAATTTTAGGTGTGGAATATGCGTCTTTTCTTCTTGTTTGAGTTCTGATATATAAATATAAATAATATATATTTATATGTTTATATATCTATAAATATAGATATATTGGTGTATATGTTCAATGCCTGTATATCTCTATTTATCTCCTTGACTTTAGAAGCAAGAAAAGAAGAAAAAGAAAAATACACCATATGCCGCAAGTCTTAATAATAAAAAAAAAGAAAGAACCAACTGAGTATACGTGCATAAATAGCAGGTACAAATAACATTTCGCTACACATTTGTATATATGTATAAGTCAGTTTGTCTTGTTTTATTTTGTTTGTTATCTCCATTTCTTTTTCTTCTTTGGATATTGCCTGACGTTACAAAATCAATTTCATAACTCAAACGAAAAAAAAAGTCAAAGAAAGAAAGAAAGAAATGACTGATTTGTTGAAATTTGTATTATTTATCATTCTCTATCTTACAATAGAACTTGCCCCTGAAGCTGACATTGACATTGTTGCTTTTGCTGATGGTGTGGTTATGTTTTTCCCTACTGTTTTTGATGTTGTGGCTGTTGTTGTTGATGCCGATGCCGATGCTGATACTGATGCTGCTGTTTCTGGTTGTGTGAACATCCTTACGTTTGCGTGGACGCAGTCTTTGCGAAGATGTGGAATGAGCTGCTCCACCGGTGGTGTTACATCCGGGTCCTCCGCATTACAGAAGACTGTGAGCAAAGGTCGTGGCCAAAGCTTTGCGAATGTGTGCAGGACGAGCAAAAAGTCCCCCAGCAAGAGCCGCAGCTGTATGGGCTTTGCGAGAACTGTTACTTCGACTGTGGTGGAGGCCCTCTGCGTGGGCCCGGCGGTGTTGGCGTGGTGCCGGACGTGCGTGACCTTCGGGGTGCTGAGGGCGACGCCGCCGCCGCCGTGTCGCTGCGTGGCCCAGCAGAGGAGGGGGGCGAGGGGGAGGTAGAGGGTGAGGTGGGCGGCGGCGGTGAGGGCGGCCTGGGCGGCGAGGGTCGCCCCGCGGACGAGCGCAAAGTAAACGTGATAAGTGGCGAGGGTGGGGAAGAGAAAGACCGTCACGGTGAAGAGCAGCGTGCCCATCAGCATCTGATCCACCTCAAAGTCGTAGGCGTCCGTTCGTCGACGGAGGGGGTTGTACTTCTTGCCGCGGAACTGCAGGTAGAGACTATGCATGGTCGACACCATCACACGGTAAGGGACGGAAATGGCATGAGAGAGCAATATAAGATGGAGCGATACCAACACGCAAACATCAGAGAGGAGGGCAAAGGCACAACTGGCACCACAAAGGGAAATATAGACAAGAAGTTTGTATACAATTTCAACCCAGTTGAAATTTACTGCAAAATCCCAACTCGTCTGAAGCATTAGTTTAGCAAAAAAACATAAGGTCATATTAAGGTCTTCATTCATTTTGAGACCTGCAGGCCATCCTTCAAACCAATCCATGTATCCCATATGTATATCATAAAGGAAAGTTCTACAAAAATCACTAGATTTTGTCACCAATGCCTTTCCACCAACAGCCAAAAGTAAACTACATACAGTTCCAAGTAGTCCATCTACTACAACACGAGAGAGAAAGTTTATAAGACAAAATCGAAGGAATGCAGGATCTTCATGCTGCATATGAGGTAAAACAGGATGAAGACCACAAACATGTGTACGTCCTTGTAATAGAGCAAGCCAATGAATAATTTCACGTAAACGAAACTCTAATAATGCGGCAGTATAGGAAACTTTTCCAAACCACGTTAGTATAGGTACAAAAAACAATAATAATGTTACTAACATACCAATAAATGCATGTAAATGTGCTTCCCATGAAACCCACTTACCTGAAGTATTTTTTTTTACAGACTTTTCATTTTTTTCTCTAAGTTCAAAAGATTCACGTAAGACTTGAGCAAAGTTATTGGCACTTAAAAGAAGACTAAGTTCAGCATAGTCTGCACTTGTAGGAAAATTCAATCGTGGAGGTAATCCATTAACTGGAGGTGGTGGAGGTAGTGGTGATAATTCATGATATAGATCAGGAGAAAAACTTTGTGTATCTCCTTTTTCTCTATCTCTACGTGTAATACTGCTACTAGTATTAGTTGGAGTAGTATTAGCTACATCATCCATAGAAGTATTACTATCCACAATCTCTTCTTTCTCTTCTTTTATACGTCTTGATGAATTATGTGTTGCACTATTTTCATCAATTCTGAAGGATACTTTTGTACATGGTCCTGCTAAAGGAATCATATGTGGTGGTAACAACACACCCTCTAATGTGGAGTGAGATCCTGAAATACAGAGAGGTTTTCTTCCTTGCAAGAGTGCATCTATACCATTACATCCAAAACGTGATGTAGCACTATACACTGTTGGTGAGACAGAGTAACGAATTTTTGGATCTGTGCGGATAACGTGCAGGTGACATGGTTGTACTCGGTATCCACAACACCATACTTGATCAAGCACAGGTCCTCTATTAAGTTCTAGCCAAATATCACTCAATTGTCGTTCCGTCCGCACCCATCTATCTGCACGTTCTCTAACTCGATCTTCCACATCTAAATGAGGCCTAGATGTGGAAGATACCAGACGTCCAAGAACAAGTAATGAGGCAGCACTAGGAATACCACGTTGTTCATGTTCTTCCTGCTGTGAATGATGTTTTGTCCCTCCATATGAATAATCATCTCGACTACTACTGCTGTTGCAACTGCTACTACCCACAACCCCGGCGTGGCCTTTCATTTCTTTTAATGTCCGCAGTGCGTCTTCAATGGCTGGACTGCGAACCACCATTACGACGACCACCACCAATCCACGGGGATTCCATCCAATCAACCAGCCGTCCTCATCACCCGCAGTATCCCGCTTGTCAATGAAAGGCCACACAAGTGTACAGACATCTGGAACCGTAGACATCACACCCCACAGGCCCCACTCTCTTCAAAAAGCAAACCACTCTATTTATTTCTCTGCTTTTATTATTTTATTTTTTTCTTTTCTTAAATAATATTTGTTGTTGCAATTGTTGTCGTATAATCGTTTTTTTTTTTTTCTTCAATTTTTATCCCTTTTTTTTTTTTTCTCTCTTGGTAGTTGTATTATAGAGAATGAGAGTGAGAGAAAGAAAGAAAGAAAGAAAAAAAAAAAAAAAAGAAACACGGAAAAAGAGATATCTTCATAATAATACCTATTTGTTTTCTTTCCTTATAGGCGTGAACGCACCTGGAGAAAGAATAAATAACAAGTGGTATGAATATAAAGAAAATAAGGTACAAAAAGAGATATCGTCACTAATAGACAAAATAAGGAAAAAAAAAAAACGATAATAATAATAAAATACTCACTCACTCACTGAGCCATAAAGATATCTGCAGGTTAATACAACTTTCACCTTAAACACTTTTCTTCATTTGGCATCCCCCAAAACAATCTCTTTAACAAATTGTTCATAATGTACTTGCCCTCCTTGATCGGCCTCTGCGAGAAACTCTTCTCGCTCTGTCGTAGAGAAGTCACTATACCTCTCGAGAAGTAACTTCATGGTTGCTGTGGGGATATATCCCACTCGTTTCCCATCGAGTGCTCGAAAGGCCTCAATGAGTTTTGCCGCTGCTGCCGTGGAATCACTGCCAGACATTTCTTTCAGAAACAACTCCTATTTTTTTTTTTTCTTTTCTTTTCTTTTGCTTCTGTCCTGAAAAAGAAGAGATATGGTGAAAGAGGAAAAGGCATAGAGATATGAGGAACTAGCAAATTGATACACACCAATAGAAACCAAATACGAAGAAAAACAATCCTTATAATAAGAACAAAAGCAGCAAGAGCCACAAAAATGGGGAATAGAGTTTCGTCACGAAGACCACCTCCAAAAAGTAAGAGAGAGAAAGAAAGAGAGAAATCGATGGATAAATAGAATGCTTCTCTTTCGGCATACATTTTTTTTTTTTTTTCTTTTGCTGTTAACACCAGCATCTTTACTTATTCTTTACTTCATGTCGTCTTGTACAAGTCATTCTTTATTTTTTTTTTTTTAATCTCGCTACGCATTTTCATCTTGATCATTAAAATTATCACCATCACCTTCACCATTATCAACATTATCATCAACAGCATCAGCAGCAGCGGCCGTATTATCCTGAGAATTGTCATCCTTCTTATTTTCCTCATGCATTTCCGTAACCAGCGTGGAATGGGCATTCTTCTCTTCCTCTTTTCTCTTGTTAATAAGGGACCATTCCTCTTCAGCAGCTTTCATTCCCTCCTGCAGCTCCAACATATCTCGCTGCAGCTCAGCTAAATGTTTCTTCTCTTTCTTCAGTTCAGCCTCCAGTTCGGGGGTTTCCTTCTCATGCGCAGTCGTTAGGGCCAACAAATTCTTTAAATGCTGCAGTTCTTTCTCAACTTCGCAGAGTTCTGCTGTCGCCGTTTGTGGGCTTTGTTGTCTACACCAATCTAAATCCTCCTGCAGTTCATTATGTGTTTTCTCAGCCACACTGCACTGTTGGGCCAGTTCTTTTTTATGTTGATTAGATTGGGACTGAAGAGCAGCAGAGAGTTCATCCACGGAGGGTAATTCCTGTAAAATAAATGGGGTCGCTCCAAGAGAGAGGTGTACTTCATCCAGTTCTTTACAAGCATCAAATAACGTAAAATCAGTATCATCATCAATATTAATATTAATATTATTATTATCATCCGTAGCGGCAACATCATCAGACGATTTTGTTGGGAAAGACACACCAACTTTTCCAAGAAGAAGCCGATCTGCTGCAATTGATATTCGCAGAAGAATCGCTATCTCTTTATATAGTTGTTTTTCATCTTTAAAAATATTTTCAAGACCATGAAGCTGTGCATTAAATAATTGAACAAGTATCTTGACTTGCTCCGTAAAAACACTAAGAATCGGTTTTTGTAAATCACTATCTTCTTCTTCTTCATTTTCTTCATTATAGTTATAACTTTCTTCTCCTCCTTCTCCTCCCTCCTCTTCTTCTTCTTCACCTTCTACATCATCATCATTTCTATCCCGAGGTGTTATTAAATGTTTACTACGAGATAGTATTTGAAGTTTCTCAGCTAATAACTCTAAAGCTGGACTACTGGGAGGAGCAAAAAGTTTAATCAATGCAGCATCTTTTATCTGTTGCTGAAGTCGAGAATTCTCCTTCATACATGTTACTATAGAACTATGTTGGGCATTTGCTTTTGCATCATATTCAACAAACTGTTCCTGCTGCTCAACTGTTGATGAACATGCTGTAGAGTTTCGCATGACTGTACCAATTATCTTTTCCGTTACCATTCTCAACCGCTTTGCGAGTACTGCACAACAATGCTGAAGAAGATATAATCGTCCTTCTTCTGTTGTATTATTATTATTACTATTACTATGATTATTATTAGATGAACTTGTACTAGTTCCAGCATCTGTGATAAAAGACAAACCCCCTTCCATCTCATTATTTACGAATGGCCATGGAAACAAGGGTGAGGATGTTAACCTCTCACGAAGCAGTTTTCGCAAGTACAACACTTCTCGACTGAGATGTTCTTTCAATTCCTCCAATTGTTGAGATCGTTGCAGTACATGATTTAATGCCGCAGGTGTTACTGTACGGAGAGGGACTCCTGCAGTTGTTGCTAATAATGCGGCCACCGCGACTTCTGTGCGGTGAAGTTGTTTCTGCAGTTGTCGTTGTTGATGGAATTGCTGCTGCTCCGCCGGTGTTGGCTGCACACATGCCAAGTGACTGTGCATTTGTTCCTCCGCCGTGAGAAGAGAACGTTCAATTCCCCAAAGTGCATATGTAGACCATCTCGCATTTAATATATTCACATGTGAGGAAAGAGAATTTTTCACACTACATAAGGCATTTAATTTATCCTGTAATTCTTGTATGAGTTGTATTAACATTTGTATAAGTTTTGCTAATTTAGGATCTAACTGTGGTAAGAGTTTCTCCAAAGCCGAATGCATTTCTTTAAACTTCTCTTCATCTGTGATGACTATGGATGAATCCTGCACGATTTTATCTTTTTCTACTAGAGGTGCTGTTGGCATCCAATGTTCATATTCAGATAAACTTCTATTATGATGATTTCTCTCTTTTACACCCGTCTGAGCTGTTTCTATATACTGCAGAGAACGTGCATGCATGGCCAGCATTTCTAACTCTGTAGCACTATCATACACTTCCATCAATGTGAATAATTCCGTTGGATCATCATTATTATCATTATCTTCATCCACTAGAGTTTCTGTTTCTTTATTAGAGCTACTAACAGCAGCACCAGTAGTAGTAGTAATAGTAATAGTAGTAGTAGATACTTCTCCTTGTTGAATCTTTTTATTTCGTTTTCGCTCTAATTTCATCACCGCATCCCGAAGACGACTCTCACAGACGCGAAGTATTTCATTCTTTTCTTCTGCAAGTGTCATGTGAAATTTGTGTGTATGTGTGGATTGTTTCTCTGTGGCTTCCAACTCTGCGAGCCGAGAGAGATGAACATTGAAGGATTCCTCATCCACTCCATCATCCTCAGCATCATCTTCATCCTCTACTGAGTATCCAATACACGGCACTGTGGCTATTGTTGTTGTTGTTGTTTCTATTGGATTCACTTCTGCTGCTGCTGCTGCGGTGTGATCATATGCAGTAGTTGTGTGGATATCGTTATTAGGATTACACACGGTGTGAGATTCCAGACGGGCTGCTTTTAATTGAGGTTCATCCTCCATAGTGGTATTATTATCTTCTTCTCCTTCTTCTATTTCTTCTTCCTCACCACTACTACTACTACTACTAGTACCACTTCTTTGTTTCTTCATATTTTTATTATTATTATTATTATTATTATTATTATTGCTACTACTACTATCGTTGTTGTTGTTGTTAATATTGTTGTTGTTGTTAGCAGGGCTTGTGTTACTCTTGACAGTCTCTGAATTGTGTATTGGTGACTTCTCCGCTTCCATCTCCTCCGCGAAGGGATTATCGTCGAACTGTGATGAGAACATAATTTCCTTCTCTCTCTTTCTCTCTCTCTCTCTGAGTGAGTGAGTGAAAGTAATAAAGAGAAAGAGAAAGAGAGAGAGTCCTTTCTTTCTTTCTTTGTTGTTGTTGGTCTGTTCAATAGTGTATTTTTTTTTTTTTTTCTCTTTCCTTTCCTATTTGTGAAGGTCTATACGGGTTTACTTTTCAGTAGCGCCCCTCTTCTTCCTCTCACTATCGGCATTCCCCAAATGAAAGTATATATATACATATATATATATATATATATATATAATTAATAAGAAAAGAGAAAAAAGAGAGAAAAAAAGTAAAGATTTATGTAAAAGGGAATCACAAGAACCACCAATACATTACAAGCAATAAATAGATATAAAGGTATGTAAGCATTTCTGCTCACTACCACCAGTTCCAAACGAAAAAGAAGGTAATTGAAATAAAGGAAGGAAAAAGACACAAGTATGCAGGTAGATAAAGAATGAGAAAGAAAGACAAGAAGAAGGGAAGAAACATATTGTGGTGAAAAAACAAAAGAAGAAACATAAAAAAAACGAAAACAAAAACAAACGCACGCACACCTATACACCTAAATAGATTACGGTATGAATATATATATATATATATATATATATATATGCACGTATGCGTGTGCTTGGATGCACTATTTTTTTTTTTTTTTTTTTTTTTTTTTTTTGCGCTAGGAGCCCACCACGCGAAGCAATGAGAATGAAAGAAAAAAAAAAAAAAGAAAAAGGGAAGATAAATTCAAACAAGGAAAAAGTGTCTAAGAAAAGAAAAGAAAAGAAAAAAAAAAACAAAGAAAAAGAATGAAGGTATGTCACTTCCTATCAATTCTTCAAATCAAAGATTCAAATAAAAGGTAATTCTGCTTATATTCAATTAAGTCTCCTTTTTTTAAATTCTTTGTATACACACAAAACCGACATTTTTTTTTTTACTTTTTTTTTTTCTTACTTTTCCGTTGTGATACTTTACGGTATTTCACTCTTCACCTTTAACAACACAGACACACAATATACAAATAGTTTATATATATATAACTATATAAATATATATAATATTCCAATATTATTACTATTTCCTCGTTTTCCTTTCGTCCAGAAATTATTATTTTGGTTTCCATACTTACACACACACACACTCTCTCTCACACAAACAAACACACAGACACAGAGAAGTCTACACTCTTATTATATATATATATATATATATATATATATAATAAGAGTGGGTATTCTGCTGTTCTAAATATCATGTAAATATTTGTGTGTACACCTGAAATATACACTAATAATAATAATGTAAACACCAAGTTGTTATTTGCACTCCATATATGAACCGTAAAAAAAAAAAAAAAAGATATGATATTATCAATAATAATAATAATAATAAAACCACAAATAGGTGAAAACGCGGATCGCGAAAATCACATAAAGTTCCAATTACATTTTCCAATGTCGGTATATAAAAGACCTCAAAAATGATGCCCAGAAATACTATGAGGAAACAATACCAATAATTTATTATTATTATTATTATTATTATTATTATCACAATAATAATAATAAATACAA